TTTTTTTTTAATGATTTATTTATTTGCATTGATGAGTCTGTGTAAAGGTGCTGGATCCCCTGGAACTGGAATTACAGACAGTTATGAGCTGCTATGTGGGTGCTGGGAATTGAACCTAGGTCTTCTGGAAGAACAGCCAGTGGTCTTAACCACTGAGCCATCTCTCCAGCCCCTCATAATTATGATTTAATCAGTATTTAAATATTATTTTTTATAATTTATTTTACTTTTTGAGATAGGGTTTTTCTGGCAGTCCTGGAATTCACTTTGTAGACCAGGCTGGCCTCAAATTCAGAGATCTGCTGGTCTCTGCCTCCCTAATGCTGGGATTAAAGGTGTGTACCATACATTATTATTATTATTATTATTATTATTGGTTTTTTGAGACAGGGTTTCTCTGTGTAGCTTTGCACCTGTCCTGGAACTCACTCTGTAGACCAGGCTGGCCTCGAACTCCCAGAGATCCGCCTGCCTCTGCCTCTCAAGTGCTGGGATTAAAGGCGTGCCCCACTCCTGCCCGGCCACACATTATTTTTACTTATGTGTATCATCGTGTGTCTGTGCATGAGCATGTGGACATGAATGCAGGTACCTTAGAGGCCAGGAGAAGTCAGATCTCCCACAGTTTACCGGTTATTTATGTGGGTGCTGGGAACCAAATCTGGCTCCTCTCCAAGAGCAGTCAGTGAACCATCTCCCCATCAACACTATTTCTTTGGTACTGGGCACTGAACCCAGGGCCTTGCCCATGCCACTGACATATTTCCTCAGCCCCAGCTCTGTTTTCTTATGAAAAGATAAGAAGAATTGTATGTGCTATTTATGTGTTCCGTCCTGCAGCTGACAATCCCAGACCAATACGGCACGGGGCTCAAAAAGAATCAAGGTGTGTTGATGCACACCTTTATAATCCCGGCACTCAGGAGGCAGAGGCAGGCAGGTCTCTGTGAGTTCAAGGCCAGCCTGGTCTACAGAGTGAATTCCAGGACAGCCAGGGCTACATAGTAAGGCCCTGTCTCAAACAAACAAACAAACGAATCAAAAGATGGCAGTTTTATGTTTTATTTTTTATTTTTTTTAAATTTATTTATTTATTATATACACAAGAAGAGGGCACCAGATCTCATTACAGATGGTTGTGAGCTACCATGTGGGTGCTGAGAATTGAACTCAGGACCTCTGGAAGAGCAGTTAGTGCTCTTAACCTCTGAGCCATCTCTCCAGCCCCAAAAGATGGCAGTTTTAAGGGGATATAATCTAATCTCCTAGCCAGAGTAGAAGTCCCTTCAAGCTGAGTCTTAGAATTTAGAATTACATAAAATGACTGTGTTTGCTATTTCCACTGCACCAGGCAAGGATCCAAGCCAGTTTGTTGATAAAGATCCAATAGTATTTCTGTGAAATACTTCTCAGCAGCTATATGTTTGGACAATGACCTGGAAATATTCAGGCAGATCAGCAACACCCCCCACCCCAGGCTCTGTTCCCTTGTGGCCCCTGGGCTGACCGCTGAGGCCCACATTAACTTCTCTATGCCTCCATTTTTTCAACAGTAAAAAGGAAGATTTAGTCTAAGACAGACAAAGGTTATTCTCAAGGTTTAGGACAAAAGCTGTATCAATTTGGAACTAACAAAAGACAAGTAGTATCTGTGATGTTATTTATTTATTTATTTTTAATCTGTGATGTTATTTAAGGAAGGGCGTATTCTTGCTTCTATCTTCATCTCACTTAGCCCTGGTTACCTTGACTCCAGCCCCTCCTCAAGCCGTGTGTATGAGAGTCTCCCGGGTAACTATTGGCTCAAAACACTCGACCCTCATTAACTGTTGTAAGAACCTGACCAGGAGAGTTGCAGAGTACAGATCAGTTGTCTCAGAGAAACCAGACAGCAGAGAGGTTGGGACACTGGACAAGGCATTCATAATCAACATCTAAACAAAGCTGTTTCTCTATTTTTTTATTAGCTATACTGAAATCATTCATTTATAACCCACCCTTCAGATCCTTCTGGCCTGGGATATAAAAGGACCAAGAAGAACAAGGGAAAACATTGAATTATTCATCCTGAGTCCCTGTCTGGATACAGGAAGGGTCTCATTAGCTCCGAACATACACTCAAAAATGGGAATTTATCAAATTAACACATTAAATGCCACAAGTAAAACTTTCATGCATTACCCCTACTGCAGAAATTGTCAAGGAAGAAACCTGTTATCTTTTTATAGAAAACACATTATTATTTACAAAGTATAAAACGAGCATTTTCAGTTTTTCAGCAGCTGCCTCTTCACTGAGAAACCATTGAGTAAGGCCAGAGGTGGGTCAGAGCTAAGAGAGTATACCGCTCTTGCAGAGGACCCAGGTTCAAGTCTTGCACCAGTGTGGGTTGGCTTCAAACTGCTCATAACCCTAGCTCCAGCAGGATCTGATGCCTCTGGCCTCCTAGGGCACTTGTACCCATGCATATACCCACATGGGGGCATATACAAACCCACATAGTTAGAAAAGCAAAAACTAAATCTCTTTCGTTTTGTTTTGTTTTGGAGACAGGGTTTCTCTGTGTAGTTTTGCACCTTTCCTGGAACTCACTCTGTAGCCCGGGCTGGCCTTGAACTCACAGAGATCCGCCTGGCTCTGCCTCCTGAGTGCTGAGTTTAAAGGTATGCGCCACCACCACCACCACCTGGCTGCAATAACTAAATCTTAAACATGGAAGAAATCACTAGATACCTATACTGTTGCCTGGAGACCAAGTTTTCCTTACCTACTCCTAACATCTGAAACTGGACAACTAAGCAAAGAACATGGATTCTTTGTGGCAGCATCCCACTGAAATGAAAGCACTCTCCTCTTCCCGTGAGAGGCTGGACCAGGGCTTTGCACATGTTAGTTGGGCATGCTACCGCAAACTTCATCCCTAGTGCATCCTTTCTTTGTTTTGTTTTGAGAGGGGGTTCACTATGTAGCCCTGGTTGATCAGGTTGACCTCGACAGGGATCCTGCCTCTGCCTCCTGGGTGCTGGGATTAAAAGTGTGCACCACCACACCTGGCCCTGGCTCTCCTAATTCTGTTCCTTAAAGGAGTACGACACAGAGAAGAAACAAGTCTTTCTAACTATAGGCACTTTTCCCTAACCTAATGGTACAGAATATATACTGTTTTTTTTTTGTGAGTTTTTTTAATTAATTTATTTTTATTTTACGTGCCTTGGTGTTTTGCCATGGGTGTCAGGCCCCCTGGAACTGGAGTTACAATCAGTTGTGAGCTGCCGTGTGGGTGCTGGGAGTTGAACTCGGGTCCTCTGGAAGAGCAGTTAATACTTTTAACCATTGGGCCATCTCTCCAGCCCCACATACTTTGAATTTCTAATGTATAATCTTCCAGTAGCGTCAGATGCCTCACCCAGAAAGGAAATGACACAGAAAGAGAAAGTTCATCTAATATTTTCTTCCTTCCAGTAAAACGGTAAACGGCTCTCAAGCTGGACCCGGGAATACAAGGGCTAGAGCAGCAGTGCACTGTATCAGCCCAAGCATCGAGGACGGGATCACAGGATTACGGGGCTTGATAAATAGGGAAGAGGATATTTATAGCCAGCAGGGTTCTCCCGAAAGGTACAAAGTAAGAGGATTTAAGAGGCTAGATGAAAGAGAGCTGAGTAACTC